AATTTTAACTTATTTTAACGTAAACTTGAGATTTAAATTAATTTAAAACTTGGGCAATGTGAGTGAGCATTTTTTAAATTGAAACGATTTTATCACAAGACCCATTAATGGGATTTTGATTCATATTATTATTATATGATAGATGAACTTTTTTGGTTAAATTTTAATAGTCATTACAAAGCAAGAAATTGCAACGTTTCTCATATTTGTGTATTATCTATCGTCAATCAAAATTTGGAAATCGTCATCAAAATTTGCGATTTCATTACTAAATATTATCGGAAGTTATGAATATTTACAATTGAATTAGTAAAAATTTTCAATATTTCATTAATTATCGAAATAAAACTGTTTTAAAAACATTTTGTGGCGAAGTAATGATAATCAGAAAAATTGATTTAACAAAATTGTCATTATGATACCTTTTTTTCTTTCTTCATTATTGAATGTTACACAAAATTCAAAATAAAAAATTGAACCAGACGATTTTATATTTCTTTTTATTCTCTTGTTGATAGCAATTTTCATTAGGTATGCACTTAGTGGGGTTGTTGGAGGGGGAAGACGATGATCGGTCGATTCAAACGTTTGTAATATAACTACGGGGATAGCTAGTACTTAGTCTAGATTTATTTGATTTACTTTGTATTTCTTTACATAAATTTAATAAAGTTACTGGCAGTGCCACATCGTTAAAAAAAAAATAAAAGAATATTTGCTTTTTATATAAATTTAATAAAGTTACTGGCGGTACCACATCGTTAAAAAAAAAAAAAAAATATTTGCTTCATTTATCAATACCAATTTTTTAATTTTTTATCTATTAACTGCATCATGTATGCTGCAGATCTACGAATTACTTACTTCGCCCATTAAACAGAAAAATTTTGAAAAACTACTTTACTTTATATTTAGCCTAATAAATTTTTTATGAAATTTTATTATATAATTTACACATGCTTTCACATATGCAGTGTTTTTAAAAACAGCCCTAGCGCGCCCATAAAAAATGGTAGCCGGATTTTATTTGCCGGGTCACATATACTTATTAGGGGTGACATACATCGGTTCTGGAACCGATTATAAATTCAGCATATTCTGGGTTTCCCTGAGTTACAAACCATTTTAACCAATTTTAAAAATCGAACCGGAACCGACTCCGGACCGGTTCCAAGAGTCGGCTCAAAATCGGATTGTCATCAAATTAAAGGTAATAATAGGACGAATTTGTTTGATAACCAGTCAAAAAATTTTTTTAAATTGATCATCAAATGATGCTCTATTAGTATAAATTTAACTTAACGCTCAAAGTTTAATTTACTTAAGAAGAGTCGAAGTAGAACCGAAGAGGAACCGAAATGGAACCGATAGAACCGTCCCCATCCCTAGATGTGGCGCGATGTGACAAATTTGCTAACCCCCTTAAACTAATCCTAATTCTACCCTAATTCTAATCCTAATCCAAACCCTAACTCTAATACTAACCCTAATAATAAATACCCGGCAAATAAATCCGGCTACCATTATTTACGGGCGACGTTGTGTTATCATTTTCGTACAATTTATATGTATACCCTGTAAAAAAAAAAAATATTCCATGCTGATCATCGTATATGATTTATATAAAGTAAGAATAAAAAATTTTTTTTTTTCTCCAAAAATTCTTATCTTTCTTTATACATAAATTTTTTTTTTTAAAAAAAAATCAATATGCAAACTGATAATAATATAAATGAGTGGATTAATCGGATTGAAGAATATATTTCAAGTAATAGTATCAGATGCTACGAATATAATCATTTTAGCAATATCCAAAAGATCGGTACAGGCCATTTTGGAAAAGTCTATTGTGCAAATTGGAAAAATACAAAACAACAACTTGCGCTAAAATCGTTTCAAAATTTTAACGAGGCAACTGTTAAAGAACTTGTTCGTGAGGTAATTACAAAATATAATATATTATGAGATTTGGATTGCTTAGTATAAAATCATTTAAACTAAAATTTATATTCGTAATAATTTAGCTCGAGCTTCAGCGTGAAGTTGATTTTTATGATAATATAATTCGTTTTCTCGGAATAACTTCAAAACAAGGTATAAATGTTCATAACAAAGTCTATTTAAGATATATATAGGCATTGTTGTTTTTATTTTATTTTTAACTCGTTTTTATATTAAAAAAAAAATTAGAAAATCAAAATGAAAAACCGAAAAAATATATGTTAGTTATGGAATATGCTGATGGGGGAGCACTTAGAAATTATTTGAAGAATAATTTTGATAAGCTGACATGGGGAGATAAATACAAATTTGCACACCAGTTGGCTCAAGCTGTGTCGTGTTTACATGAAGAAGGAATTGTGCATCGTGATTTGGTAAGATACTTATTTTTGTTTATTATTGCTGTTAATAAGTAATAAGTAATAATTAATTTTATATATAATAGCATTCTGGTAATATATTAATTCGTCAAGGTAATATTAAACTTGCTGATTTTGGATTGTCGAAAAGAATTGAAGCGGAAAGTAGAAAACAGTCAAAAATTTATGGTGTACTTCCTTATATTGATCCAAAAAGATTTGGTTCTCGAAAAAGAAGTGAAAATACATCACAACATTATACGCTAACTGAGAAGAGCGACGTTTACAGTATTGGAGTGCTCTTATGGGAAATATCTAGTGGTCATCCTCCTTTTGAAAGCGAACGATACGACTTTGATTTAGCTATGGATATTTTACAAGGACGTAGAGAAAGTATCATTCCCGATACACCTAAAGATTATATAAATATTTATACTGGTAAATATATTATTTTGTATTTAAATTTAATATAATTTTTTTTCAATAATTAAATATTTTATGATTTTAGAATGCTGGGAAATCGAGCCAGACAATCGACCGACTATGAACAAAGTAGTTTATAAATTAAATGCTATAAATGCAAATATAATAGAAAATGATCCAATTAATAATGACGAATCAAACCTTCAATCGTCAGAACAACAAATTAATTCTAGTTTGAATAATTCATTTCATGGGGACTTATCTCAAATGATTCAAAATTTTAATCAGAAGAATGTAGAAGAATTAAATTTGAATAATGAAACATCAAACATTATTTACGATGATACTATTGATTATTTAGTGATTACGGATCTTAACAAGGATATATTAAACTTCTTAGGAGGATTGCAAATATATCGAAAATTAAAAGTACTCAACTGTAATAATACAAAGATAACCAGCCTACCAACATTCCCAAACTCCTTAACTGAACTCTACTGCGATGTAACTCAAATAAAAAGCTTACCAATTTTACCCGATTCCTTAACAATACTCCATTGTCGTAATACTCCAATAAATAGCTTACCAACTTTACCTGACTCTTTAACGGAACTCTATTGCTATAAAACTCCAATAACAAACCTACCAACTTTACCCGACTCCTTAACGGAACTCTATTGTTGTAATACTCCAATAAATAGCTTACCAACTTTACCCGACTCCTTAACAAAACTCAATTGTCGTAATACTCCAATAAATAGCTTACCAACTTTACCCGATTCCTTAACAATACTCAATTGTAGTAATACTCGAATAAATAGCTTACCAACTTTACCCGACTCCTTAACGGAACTCTATTGTTGTCAAACTCAAATAAATAGCTTACCAACTTTACCCGTCTCCTTAACGGAACTCTATTGCTCTTGTACTTCAATAAATAGCTTATCAGCTTTACCTCATTTCTTAACAATGCTCTATTGCGATGATACTCCAATAAAGCGCTTACCAACTTTACCTGACTCCTTAACTGAACTTAGCTGCGAAAATACTCGGATAACTAGATTACCAAATTTACCTCGTTCCTTAATAATTCTCAAACCTAAATTTTTAATGTTAAGAACTAAATATGATAAATGTGTAATACATTAATCGAAAAACATCATCATTTAAAGAAATTTATCTATTAACAAGTTTATTAATTTATCTTAATATATTTTTCTTTCATATTCCATTTTAGCATATTAAATAATTATTTTTGTAAAAAACTTATTTACAAACTTATTAATTTATTAATGATTCCATCTATATATACAATATATACACAAACATTAATTTATAATAATTAAAAAAAAAAAAAAAAAAAAAAGGCATAAATTATTAAAAAACGAAAATTTTCAATATGTTCGTATACTTTTTTTATTTATTTACTTATTTTTTGTATAATAATTCTTTATTTTATTTATATACACTATATGGTAATTCAATTTCGATGAATGCGATTCCAATCATCACATATAAAATGAAAATAAAATCAATAAATCAAAACAAAAAATTTAAAATTGGACTCATTCCGGAGAGAATTTAGCGGACTAACAAAAATATAAACCTTACCAAAGTAACACAATTGAAATTAAACAAAAGAAATAATAAAATTTCTACCATACCAGTTCTTCCTGAATCTGAAAAAAAATTCTTTGCCAAAATATCCCAATAAAAAAAAAATTTGATTACTTAAAAAAACTAAATAATTAAAATAATTAGCTTTTTACCAAGTAAACTAATAATAATAAATCTACAATTTAATAGCGAGTTGAGATTTTTAAACCATAAAATTAATCTTGTTTCACCATTCCATTTAATAATTAACAAAAATTCTAAATACGAAAATAAAAAGATCATATGATATTACCACAGTAGCAACTTTTAATTGTGATTTTAGTAGTTTCGTATAACGAAAATATTTTATAAATTTTTTTGTTCATTTTGATTTATTGAATTGTAAAAATACTAATGAAATATATATATACAGCAGTAATAAATTTTTGATTAAAATTATTTCTCTCAGTTTTAACCGACCAATCAAGTAACGTAGCTGAGAAGTGCCAAAATTTTGAAATGAATTATATACCTGTAATAATAAAAGGAAATAGCTTTGTCAAGTACAGATATTTCTTATATATTTATCGAAAAAAGATCTTTGTTAAAAATAATTATCGGTCATTTACTAATTGATGATTTTTGCTAGTACAATTAGTTAGTTATTATGTCAAATTGTAAATAACATTTATTAATTTATTTATTGAAAGTGTAATTTTTATAATATTTCATAAACTATCGTCACATTCTTGACAATTGGGTTTTGAGGAACTCTACCTTTCGCAAGTGCTGATAGTTGTTCAAGGGAGGGTAATTGATTACCTTTGGATGTAATATTATGTGTCATTTATATTATCAAAAGAAAAAAAATTTTTTTTAGGAAAAACAAGACGCGTAAAAGAAAAGAAATATCATTTGTTCTTATGAAAAATGGTTTAATAAAGCTAAAAAATTAAAGTTTTTAAATTAAACTATTTTGTGTAAACCGATAAAACAGTTACTCAGGACTACGTGACCTCGTAACTGCGGCACTGCCGTGCCTTGCAATAAGAATATGATCAAGTGGAATTTGCTGAGCTCCGCTCAGCAAATTCCAACCAATCATATTGCTTATTGCAAATACAACAGTTACTCGGCACGAAGTGCCAAGTAACTATTACTTACAGGCCTTCAGCTTTTACCAAAAATATCTTAAGTAAAAAAAAAATTCAACATCAATTTTGATAAGAATATATGTCCTGGATTTCAATAATGTTATAAAATTATAAAATTGCATTGCATTAAACGCTTTCATTATACCCAATTGTTCGTATGCTCACTTTATCATATATATATAAAAATAATGTTATGTAAAAAAAAAATTCTTTTTTATTACTTTTTAGATTGATCCCTGCATTGTTGACTTAATATTGAATCAAATTTTTTGATCAATTTATTCGAAATCTTTTTCATCAATATCATCGAACCTGAAAAAATGGTATACTGTGTTACAAAATCAAATATTGATATTTACGTGCAGAATCTAATCTACATGTGTTAGACATTAAGTCCTGATATGTGTAACTATCTAATGCATATAATATAGGAGCTATTCATATCATGCAGACTTCAGACTACGGTAACTTAAATGGTCAATAATCTTGATAATCATTTATTATCAACATTATCAATGAAGAAAAATATGGTATCTTTTGTTTGAAATGATGTATCCTGCAGCAAATTTGCATAACATATGCATATCCGGAGCCGGAACCACGCGATGAAAAAAAAGATTGAACGAACGTGAAATAATATAAATTTAACGAAATTATTTTGTAATCGTTCTTTACGATAGAATACAAAATATTTGAATTCTCAACAAATATGAAATTATTTAAAATAAAATTTCAAGCATATTTGGACGTTCATGTCAAATTTAAAACGTCAAATAAATTCTTTAATAAAGAACAAGATGATTATTTTAGATTCATCTCAAGTAATTCGTAAGGGTCTTTCAAAGATAAGAAATCTTCTTGGAAAATTTTAACATTTATTAAGGCAGTTAAGGGTTGAAAATGTTTGAAGCAACAACCAACTATTCATATACGAGTAGATCTTTTTTTGTTGTTACGCAGAAGAATAAATCTTTATAAAAATTTAGACTTTTTTTTTAATAATTATTTTTTTTTAATTTCGAAAATTTTATTTTTATATTTATATTTGTTTTTATTTCTTAATCTTTTCTTTCCATAATAAGTTTAAATTATACTTGTGACATTAACGTTATTAAGCATGTCAATAATCTAATACAAGTTACATTTCACCTAAATTAAAGATTTTTTTTATTTAGATAACAATCTATGTAATGTATTGATTTTGAATATTACAATATCAAATCATGATTGTAGCTTAAACTAAAGAAATGATACATAAAATAATAATAAATTCCAAATTTTAATAACGTTAAACTTTTTTTAAAATTATGAATAATTTCGATATTTTCCATATCAATTTATAAATTCCAATAAGAATCAAAACAAAGAATTCGATTCGTCAAACCTTCATAAATAGAATTTAATTTCAATTCCCTTTGAAATGCTTCTATAACTCCTTCAGAAACTACATTTAAACTTGTAAACATTAGGTGAATATCCTACGAAATTTATAATTACTTTTAGTGATCCTTAAAAAATATTGAATCATCATTAGTTTTGATAAGTTGATGCGGACTGCACTGCTTAAACTGTTCACAATTAATAATTGCGTTATTAGTAAAAAAATTCAAGCATTACTAAAGGAAAGACGATTGATATAAAAATATCAATGGCAAAAAAATGATTATTACGAACAAACAGATTTAACTCATCACAAAAGTGCCAATTTTATTTTTTGTTGGATTTTAAATTTAAAGTATTTTTGCAGAAATTAGTTAATTTACTTGTCACTACATCAAGGAGATATTAACATGTCGATACTTTAGAAAATATACAAACTTACATTAAAAAAACCAATGATTTTATAACGACTGCGGCAAATTACGTGTATAATAGTTTGTTAAGCTAGTATTATATGAATTTAATAAGGGCTATAATCTCCTTTTATTTCAATTATAAAGCCTACAACGTTCTTTCATTGACCCCAGTATATTCGCTAAAATGCTTTCTGGAATATTTTCTCATTCCTCCATCATAAATCGTTCCAATTCATTTAAATTTTTTGGCCACCATTTTTCAACATTTCTATAGGGTTTAAATCGATACTATTAAAAGGCCAGTGTAAAATAAAGAGCAAGTCTTCCTGGACCTGCACAGATAATAACTTTTGGAATTTTGCGTATTGTATTTGTTAGGTGTTAACATTATATTTTATCAAGATTGTTTAAATTTTAAAATTTGTGTTTAAATTATTTATCAAGGTTGTTAATATATAAAATCTTTGAAGTATTGAAATTATTTTTCAAGATGGGATTGTTAAAACTTATATCTTTTGATTATTTATTAAACGCGTTGTTTTTTTGTTTTTGCTTTTAACGAGTTAATGAGGAATGTTTAAAAAAAATTGATGCCAATGAAGTATATATCGATTATTCTACGTGATGCATATATATACAATTAATGATTTTTATAAGCAAAGAATAATTTTTGTACAACAATAATGTATTTATTGTTTCATTTCGATATTTCGGACCTGTTAAGGCTCTCGTTATTCAAACGGAAAATGAATTCCTTAATTAAGAAAATATTTTATTTATCATTGATTAAATAGGTATAGGGAATAATTCTGCGTTCTATTTAAAAATTTTAAGTTCAGTATGGAAAGTTCTTTATTGTTTGTAATCTTTATAAGCTATTTCATTTAAAAAATTAGTAAAATTTCATTGTCATAAAAACGGTATCTCGATCTATGTTGCAATTAAAAATGATCTTATTACTGGTATATTTTTTTTTTTTTTTAAAAAAAAAAAAAAAAGTAAGCTTGAGAGTTTTAATAAAACGTATATAAAAAAAAAACCGGAAAATAGTTTTCACCTTCAAATGCTTAAAAATGTATATTTCTCGTTTTCATTTTCCAAAATAACTAAAATAATATTGATTGACTTCCAAATTTGGCTTATTGGCAGTAAAGAAAATGGAAGAAAATAAATGTTCACACGATCAAATTGAAAGTTTGCGGCTATCCTTTTTTTCCTTTATAAAGAAACAAAGAAGCGGACAAGTTTTTGAGCATCGTACCTTATACAAAATTATGACCAAGAATTTTTTTTTCGTTTTCGTCGCTCTTTCACAAAAAAAAATCTCATAATGAAGTGCGCACACCTTGAATAAACTGTCACGACTTTATCTTTCTTTAGGCGAGAAACTAACTTCTAAAAAACTTTGCTCCTAGCGTAGCTGATATCTGGATTTCAAATCTTAACCTGCTGGTAAGCTCTTTATTCTTTTTCTTTAATGTAGTACCCTATTAGTTTACTCGTGGACTAATATCCTCCATTACAAAAAAATACTTTCTCCCTGATAAGTCTATTGCATCTGTTACCTTATTTAAATATGTTTTAATTAATATCCACGATTTTTTTATATTTATTTTTTTTAAAAATCTATTAATAAAATTGCATGTATTAAAAAATTAGAAAAAGAAATGTAATCTATAGCCAAAAAAAAAATTAATCTAAATCAATTGTTAAAATAAAAATTAAATGAAAAGAAAAATTAAATTAGAAAAATTAATTTAATTAATAAAAATTAAACTTCTTTTTTATCAATATCATTAATGTTTCAAAAATTTGGTTTTATATTTTTATTTATTATAATGAAATTTTAAAGTTAATTGAATTAGTTGATAAAAAACAAAGATAAAAAAGAATTCGAATTAAAAATCTTCGAAAGGGATTCAAGTCCAAGAGGTAAGCATAAAAGTCCTGTTCTTTTTAAAAACGTGACATACCTAACTCAAATTAATTCGTAAATTCTATAGAACGATGGCAAAGATATCATATAGCATTGAACTATCATGGAACTCGATCGCTTTAGAATTGTATACCATCTTCGATCACTTCAAACCTTCAAAAAGTGATACCAAATCCACTTCCCGCGTAGAATTTCATGGGCATCATTTATCAATAATAAAGGAAGTCTTTTATAACATCTACCATCTAAACAATTTAAAGACTTTAACGAACTTGTAAAGTTCCTGATAAACTTTCCGTGATGGTTACTTATCGTGATTGGGAAAAATATGCATTAGATACGAGAGAAACTAAAGATAGTGTTTGGGTAATGTTTGATGATGGTTCACAAGAAATTTGTGATATCTTAGTTGGCGTAGATGGAATTAATTTTCCAGGTAAGCCTAAATTTTCCTCAAATTCCCTCGATTAAAATGGAATAAAAAAATTAATTTGTATTTTTTCTTACGTTTTTTTAGCACGAAAACAGAGACAACCCGAATTACAAATTTTCGATATTGGATTAACAAATATCATAACATATCAAAACAACTTATGAACAGATTCATAAAGTTACAAGAAAATAGTTTATTCCATCCAAAAGCCTCTCAGATTACATGGTGATTCGTCAACGCTTATTTTTCATCTAATTACAATCGAGCAAGAACAAGGTTATGAGAATAAAAGCAATTCTAATGAGCTTATTACAGAGTAACTTTAAATTATTCGTATCCCACTAAATTAGACGACGTTTAATCCGATAAAATCAAAGTTGATGATAAACAGTCATTAACCTGTCAAGAAGATGATTCAAAATTTTTGGATCTGAATGCGAATTCAATGATATTATATTAGAATTTTGGGACTTTGTTCTTAAATCAACTCCAAATGATCTAGAATGTTTCAATTTAAAACTTTTAATCCGCTCGACAAAGACAATAATCAAGATGTTAATCCATTGGACAAGGTGTCGAGTAACTCTCTCAAGCATTCTTCATCAGAAGATCCTATTTCCTGCATTCAAGGATATGAAAAATAAATGCGAAAAAAGATCAACCATCGATGTCCACTCCTGTTGGCCTTTCATTTGAAATTGTAGTTTTAAGGTACAAATTTCATTATGAACTTTTTAAGTATTTTAGAAAGTAAATTAATTAAGTTTATGTTTCTTTTCATTTTTATATTATCAGATGTTCAAGATTTTTTACGCATAATTATTTGTAAATATCATTTTGAATATCTTTACAAATTAAAATATTGATATAATTAGAAGTTTCTTCCTTTTTTTCCTTATGGTAAAATAGTAAAAAATATGTAACGATATAATAGTAATAAAGAGAGCATTGAAAAAAAGGAATAAATTCATATATTGAAGTTAGTCTTTATTTACAAAATTCAATAAACTGTAATTAAATTCATACATTACACATTTTATGTCGAGTTGCTAAACTAAATTTACAACTTCAGAAATCAATTTAGTCACAATTTACTACGCCTCTTAATTTATATACATTTTTTGTTGTTAATAATAATAAATGATAAATTTTTTAAATTTGTAAATATACAACTTTATTTTTAATTGTATCTTTTGTTTTTGGAATTAATTTTAAAGCCCAAAAAAATATCAGTTAAATTACAAATCCCAATCATTTAGTTTGTCCTTTCAAGATATGTGAACTTATTATCATGATTATATTTTCTTTTGTTTATTTCTTTATACAATTAACGTAATGGAAAAATTCAATTTACAACTGGATTGTTCAATAAAATCACTTCTATGGAAAATAAAAGTCATTGTTGCGGCGTAATAGGCATCATAATGGAATAGTTTCAAAAACAAAATTTGTTTAAAATGTACAAATATTTTCACATTAGTGATACAATCTTACAATTTAATATCTCTCAAAATTAACTAGACATTATTAACGTTAAAGAACTAAATATGTATAGCGAGACATAATTCTTGACTTATAATTTTGTTTATCATAAGCAGGGCGTGCGGTACTTCTAAATCTTTTCAAATATGCTCTATTTTTAAAGAATATACAACGAGTGAATATTAGTATTAAAGAATTTCTCCGCTATCCTTTTCCAATGAAGTTTTTCAACACTAATAGAAATGTTTTCATCCTTTTCAAATGAAATATCGCGTTTTTTATAAAAGTAGATTAAATCATTATATTAACAGCATTATCCTCAACTACCAACATTATAGGTCAAGAAATTGAACAATTCAAAATTTGAAATAAATATGTTTAACAATAAGCATTATTAATTGTAATTACATTAGATTCCATTATCATTCACAAATAATGATGCATCTTCAAGCAAGTTATTGAATGTCCGCTACTTTCAGTACAATAACGTAAGTAATCCTTGTTGTACTCTTGATTCCTCAAAAGCAAATAAATTCGTAATTGAATATTAGTAACATGTGAATTTAAGTCATTTATTGTAATAAAAAGAATAATAATACAGACAATAATAAATGACATGACATAGTAATCCATAAATTGCAATTGTATTCGAAGTCGAAAACTTTGACCACCAAGTGCCTTCTGCGTTATCCTTGACTACCGTTTATAAAAATTTTTTGAAATAACTTATACCGTCTGCGAATTCTCGTTTTATGGTTATCTCTCAATACTCGTAATTTATAGATGAGATTATACTTTCCATTTATGGAATTTTGAATTTTCGTTCATAAAAAAGCAAGAATATCATTATTATTAAAGGTAAAAAGAAGGGAGGAAAGCGTGAGAAATAATCGAAGATAACAAAAAGTTTATTATATGCTATTTTAGTCGAAACTCATTAATATCCGAAAAAAAATTATAAGTTTTCTATTTATGGTGTTTAATACCATTCGCAATTTTACAAATTTACTTTTTATCTTGTCAAGCAAAAGATTTTTAGTTAGAATATCCACAAATTTTGAACAATAGCTAGTTTACTAAAAGCATAGACGAATATAAATGTACAAAAAAAAAAATTGCCTCATTAGTTTCAAAATGGATTATAATGTATGGTAAACTTCAAATCATTAATAAACGAATGGTTTTTTATATCATTATTATCCATTTTAATCGATAATTTATTTATTTTTTATTATTAATGCACTAGGACTAGGGTTAGCATTTTGTAGTGTGGTAACCCAACGTTTGGCGTAAAGGTTGTATTTAAGCATGTTAATTGATGCATAAATTTTCTATTTAAATTATTCAAACGAACGTTTGTTTGACAGATTAGATAAAAAGTAAAATTGTAAAATTGGTATTAAACACCATAAATTAAAAACTTTAATTATTTTCAGACATTAATGAGGCTGCACAAAGCATGAAATAATGACGCAAATAAAGAATAAAATCAGTATATAATAAACTTTTGTTATCGTTCAATTATTTTCTCACCTTTAATAAAAATGATAATTTTATTACTTTTTTATAAACGAACCATAAATGAGGTTTACTTTAATTGTGTTGAACCCCGTAATGAAATAGTAAAATAACTTCTGAAATCAATTTACGTTCCTGATCCGTTAATCATAAGACCTCCTGAATAACTTGTCATAAATATTTAAACAACAGATAAACTATTTTTTTACGTTTCTAACTCACTCACTCTCTTCTTTTGTAATTATTTTCCCGAAAATGAGAATCAAGAAAGATTGGATAGTTCCATCAAGTGGCGAAAACCTATTACCAAATCTTGAGTTGTTTTTAGTCTCAAAATATCGCAGTTCTCAACAACCAATATCAGAATTCAATGAAGCAAATTGATTAATAAAAAGTTTGAAATAATAATTCCTTGCAGCAAACAAAAAGCTAACATGATTCATTTATTTGTTATTCACAAATAATGATCCATCTTCAAGCTATAGAGTGTCCGCTACTTTCAACTAAATTCGTAATTTAATATTAATATGTAAATGTAAAGTCATGTATTGTATGTAATAAAAAGAATACTTACTGCATACTTTATAATACATTCATAAAAAAATATGAACTCTCCCATCTCTGTAAAATCACGCGGTAGATTGGCGTTGTCTACTTCATCCTCCTAAGATTAGAATTATCATTAGTCAAAATATGATGAGTAAATAATATAGACAATAATAAATGCAATATCACAGTAATCCATAATTATAATACATAATGAATACATTCTTTAGTATTATGAACTAGAATAATTTTTAGCAGTTGTAACATAATACAGAAAATATTAAATAATTAAAAGAAATAATTCAAAATGATCACACGTATTATATTTTTAAATTATATTACTTATTATTTTTTAATATTTAAGTTACTAAGCTAGGCCTATTTATTTTTAATTATTAAGTTTTTTAGTCACAAAATTATGGAATCACATATTGATCTGGTAAAACCTCGAAAGGTTTTGTATGTACATGCCATGCTAAAGAATTAAGATTCATCCCGAATCCATGTCATGTGAAAATAAGTCGTCTGCTATTAACCAAGCAGCTAGAATGGCATTTAATATTTTAATACTTTTTTATTTTTATAATATGCTATATTATATTTATAATAAAAATAAATTTTATTAATATAAATTATTATATTATACAATCTTAATATGCTAAATACTGTCCCTTTAAGCGTTTTGCAAGCAAACTTGCCTGCAATTTTATTTAATAATTATAATATTTTAAAACAATTTATTTAAAAATTAATATTTTTATAATAAATTTTATAATATTTTCTAAGTAAACATTCAGATAAATATATGATAATTATTATGAAATTAAGTTAATTTTTAAATTTATATATCTTGCTATCTATTGATCTTAGAAATATGAAAATATAATCATTTAATAGGTTTTAAAAAGGTAAATTCAACAAACAAAATTTTATTTTCTTGTAATTATTTTTTTTTAAAGATGCGGTAATGCTTATATTTTTTATAAAAATTCAAATCCAGTAAGTTAATATATGGAAATTCCAAAAACTAGGTACAAAAAGTAGAAAAAAATAAATTAAACTGCCTAAAATGTACTTGCAAATTAAAAAACTTACTAGTTTCAAACCAACCG